CTGCTGCTTAAGCGACACATTAAGGAAATTGAACTGCTGGAGAAATTTACTAGGGAGAAATCAGTGAAAAATGGTGGTTAACAATGATTTAATATTTTTTTTTGCCGGTGTACTGTTTATGTCCCTCGTTTAGTTGTGATACCTTGTTGTACAATTTGGAGCTTTTGACTGTTAGATGATGGATGAGCCCCCGTTTTACTAACTGGACCTATACACAAGACATGTAGCAATACTAAGCGATCAATGGAATCAGTCAATCGGTCGGCCGGCAGCGGTCAAACATCAGGAGATTCCATTGTTTAAGTTTCCGAAAAATTATCAGCATAGGACTTTTATCACTTCTCCAAGTTTTTAAATTGTTGTTTAGTTTCTTTGTTGCGATAGTCAGACTTTCTTCTTCATTTCCACCCCATCGAATATTTATTGACACTTTACAAATGTTCCTTGAGGCTATCGCATTGTAAGTAATCAAAATTAAACACAACAAAAATTGTGTTAAGACCTTATTTCCTCCCCCAAAGAATTCCTCTCCATGGAAATGATGTGTTTTATTTTTTGCGGCTGTGAAGCAATCGTCTAAAATTAGTTTGACCAAGATCGATGTTTTTCTGCCCGAAAATGCGATGATTTCCTTTCCACACCACAACCCTCTATGTGCACGTAATATGAATCTGAATTTAAAGTTGCCCTATTTCCCCCACCCCGAATGAAGCTGTAGATATTGGTGCCTTCAGTCACGATAACCTAACCAATTTGTGTGTGCAGTAGTGTAATATAAATTCCAGTTGCATGCTTGTACGTGGGAACCTGGCTGGCTTCTGTTCATACATGTTTTTCTTTCGAGTGCGTAACAGATAAATATTTGCCAGTAACTAGTAGAGGACTTGTTTTAAAACTGCTTATTTGATTTCTTGGTTTCTAGTTTCTGATTAATTATCATTGGATGCATCTGGAAATATTACAATGCACGGCTAAACTAGCCAGCTGACGAGCAGAAATATAGTTAGTGGTTTTAGAAGAAGCAATAGCCTTTCTATTTTCGTGTTTTTGGTACCAAACTTGAGAGGAAAAGAAGCACGACAAGGACAAGAACAGCTTGTTTTATTCTTAAACTTCTTGAAAAGGACAACATGGAGTGAACTACTACGACTTCCCTTTCCTGTGTAAGGGTATTTTTTGTCAGGTAGTTTTGGGCAATTATAGAACTGAAGACTTAATGCTACCTTGATTTGAAAAGACCTGTCCATTAACTGTCCATTTGCAGGGCGATATACGACATACGACATGGCCTAATACCTGCGGCAATATTTAAAAATAACCATTTCGTAAAATAGATGATATTCCCGACAGTGGCCTCCTACGCAGACTTCCTTTGGGCTTGTCACGCACCAAAGAACGTCTGCGTAGAAGGCTACCCCGACAGGGTTAACCCACCGATAGGGGAAGAGAAGCAACGACAAAACAGCGACGGTGCACAGTTTGAAATCCCGTCAAACAACACAAGATACCCGCCTCGGACCCCCAACACCATCAGAAAGCCCTTCCAAAAAAAAACAAGAATCATGTTTTGAAAGTTACTTACTTTTAAATGTAGAAACCTATATCATTAACTATAAGAATTAAGTGTAATGCATGTGGACATCTGTCTCTTTTTATTTATAAAAACTACCTAATGGAAGCATTTAATTAAAAAGCTTTTTCCTTAACTGCTTATATCGCTGGGCAACTTGTCTCGATGTTTAAAAAATTCAAGTTGGAAAAGACGAGCAAAGTAGAACACCTTGAAAAAATTACTTTATAAAACGAGTACTAAATTAATTGAAATGATCGACAAGTTATTTTGTTAAAAGTTTTAAATAACCATCATTATGCGATATCCTTACAAGTTAGGTTTATTTAGTTAGGTACATGGGTATACCTTTTAATTTCCTCTCCTCCACTTTCCATTCCCCATCGCCATCCCCACCCTCTGCCCTATCTACAAACCCCCGGCAAACATGGTTCAAACTAAAAAGTTACCAGAAATGTAGTTAATTTTAGCGTCCACGATTCGCTTGTAGCTCAGTGGTAGAGCATCTAATCAGTGTGCAGAAGGACACAGATGGCTAGGACTCCATTTGCAGAGAAAACTGGAAATTCTAACTAGCTTGTGTGTTATTAAGCTTATAACGTATACCATCATTTACTCTAATCCAGTCCCTCGGCGCTAAGAATAGGGTCGAGGGAACTTTGTATGCGCATGCTCCAGCAGAATCTCTATGACAAAAGACAAATGTCGATATTCTAAGAAAAACTTTAATACGGGCTCAAATCCCTTCGGAGGTGATTCAGTTGAACCGGTGAAGAGATTTAAATACATCCGATTAACTATCTGGAATGAAACGAGTTTCAAATATATTTCGTTAAATCCCTTGTCACCCAAATTCGCTGGTCAATCGTCAAAAGTAGTCAAAATGCTGTGTGAATTTCCATGCCCATTATAACTAAATGGAAGTAAATAACACACACACACAAAACATACTACATGTACGTTCGTAATTATTTCACATATTTTATTGTTTGGGTTCATACATACACCTTGTAACACTATTTAAATATTTATAAGTCAGTTCGGAAGCCTGTGATTATAAATGACTACTATCCTATCTACAACGATCTGTTTAGTTTTCAATCCCGCGATCATGATCAACCAAATAAGGCAAAGTAAACGTTTTATCTTCTAAAACAAAAACAAATACACTGATATACATATATCCATTGGCTGAGCGTCATCTTACGTTTACAGGAATTAATTAGACAGAATGATATCACTTTTAAACTATTTTCGTGTTTGAACAAGTTTAGCGGCGTTGCTTTTGTTGGTTGGAGAATATCCATGACACGATGCTCTAGCGACCAAACTAGCCTTAAATTCAGACTCTTCAACTTCATACAGTGATCAGCTATTCTGTCTCTACAAATAAAACAGTCGAATTTATGCAGTTTGAAGGATAGTAAGAAATCCAAACAACGTAATTGCAGTGGCAAACAGCTTAACATTAATGTTAACTCAGCTGGCTCCGTTGGGGTTTGTTTCGTACATTTGCACCATAGTTCCCTCAACTTTCTTCTCGACTTGGGTGCACCTGCTGTCATCAACTATAATTACATTGTATCGTGCACGAGTTGTTACTACAAAGCCCTTTTCTTTGATATCTTCCAAAGAGACTGTGTTGTTGACGCCGTGAAATTCCGTCGTGTTCTCACGAGCCTTGTAGGTTAGAGTTGTGTAGAGTTCGACGAGATTGCCATCGATTCCACGTCGCAGGCTTCGTTTTTGTGAAGATTTTCCTAGGCAAAAATCTCCATTGGTGTCCAGCAGTCTCTCTTCTTCAGACGACAGCCTCACTGCACGGTTCGTAGGAACTTTTACGTAACTGCCGTACACTGGAAATCCAACTCGGTAGACTGGAGCATTGCTCAGTAAATAGCGGTGTAGGAAGTAACCAGCTACAACTCCGGTGAACAACTGGGAACGAGATCCAATTCTGGTTTGACGGACGATAACAGGAGAACGGGCGGATTTAGCTTTGATCGGCGTAAATTTGGTGATTTTTGGACCAGATCGACGTGTAGTTGAGCGAAATCTTCCACGAGAACCGCCTCCTCGGGAACCTCCACGGCTCCCTCCGCTACGGCCACCACTCCGTCCTCCTCCTCCTCGCCCACCCCGGGTAGAGACATCATCTGGCAGAAGCACAAACACCAGAAGTAAAACGAACAACAATGCTGTGTGAACTTGCATGTTACTGCGTAGGTGATAAATCCGTGTGTACTTTCTGGAAAACAAACTAAGTACTAAGGTAAACGACGAACATTTATAAGTTATAAGCTGATCGACACTGAGGCCAATATTCCAATTTATGATGTGTTCGGGAAAATTACTGGGTCCTATATATAGTTTCTTATTTAGGTAACGGATGGTTTGTTAGTGGTTGATGACGTTTTCGGAAAATGAATATTTTTTTGTGCGGTTCAAATTCAAAGGAATATTGGCACTTCGTTATAAAATCTAAGCTGATTCCACAAACAAATTCCTGTCTTTTTCCCATTTATCGCGATTTGATGTTTCTGAGTATATAATATGGCTTCATAGCACATGGGCTGCTAACGAGACGTGTGGAGACTAACAGTTTTTGATATTCTTCTGCTATTTTATACCTTATCTTTCCTCAAGTGTTAGCCGATATTATTATGCGGTCATGACACGATGTATTGGACATGTTTCAAACACATCATGCATGACTTTATTCGCTTCAATTCGCTTGCATGCGGAAAATTGTAACTGAAATTAGCAATGGCAGCACATTTTCGAACTCAGTTATAAAGTGCTGTTATGAAGTTTAAGAGTGACTGCCTGTTGGGATCGAGAATGGTCCGTCAACGACCCATTTGGCGAATCGCTGATATTTTGCCCAAAGATACCCTTGGGTGAACTATTTTCAAAAATCATATTTAAAAGTTCCAGCGATTTTTTAATTTTCAGAAAATCGCGAAAATTTGAAAGTGCGGTCAAAGTGCAGTTTTTCGCTTCATCAAACGCCCAAAATAAGGTGCAAGGACGAAGGACCACCGAAGCGTTCAAATAAATCCAATTGACGCCAAACTTCACACAAAGTCGGAACAACTATTCCTATGTATTATTAACTTGTAACAATTTTCAAGTACGTTGAAATTGTAATTTTGCAACCCATTTTAAAAACACCTCTCAAGACCGCTAAAAATGGCGGCAGAATATCGTTAATGTTTAATACCACAAAAATGCCGCTGGTACCTCATTTTTCGATAATTGTATTTTACAGCCCCAACATATCATTATTGAACATTTACCATGCCAAGTTTCAGGGTCGAACTCGAAACGCTTCCCTTCGAAAAAAATCGAAAATCTATGTAATGTGTTCGGGCCAAATGACGCACGATTTAGAGACCATTGAGGTTAATGAACTTCAAGTGGGCCCATAAAATTCTAAAATTAATTTCAATCTTTGAACCTTTGACCTCCTGTTTACTAGACAGGCGCTCTAACCAACTGAGCTACGGCGCCAGGTGTGAGGCAAAAGGACGTTTCAAAATAAGCAATTGTTGTACACTTTACGATAATAAGGACCTTTTAAAACACCAGGACGACGGGCTACCGAGTACCTGGCCGGAAGCACTGTTCAGACCTCTCCAGCCTTCATTCCAGGCGACTTTCCCTTGAGATGATCAACACACATCGAGGATCACAAAGGTTTCAAAAAGTTAGAAAAAAATAAACAGACATATCAGAGAGACAGACCCTTCCTTTATCTATATCCGTTTCCGTGGTGTAGTGGTTATCACGTCCGCCTAACACGCGGAAGGTCGCAGGTTCGGTCCCTGCCGGAAACATAATTTTATTTTATTATTATTATTTTTTAAGTCTACAAATATTTTATGATAATGTGGCAAGCGAATAAAATTATTATAAATACAACATACTATACTAGCGTATTTAGAATTCATCCTTGGCGATTTCAAAGAGGATTAAAAAATAACAATTTAGAAAGTGCAAGGCATTTTAAATCCGAAACTTCCAACAATTATAATGTGGTTTCCATGTCCGATATACCAGATATACGGCACAGAGCGTTGCCGACTTTTTCCCATGCGCTAGCCATTAGCATGCATGGAAATAATGGAAGTAGCTAGACATCATTTTAAGGACAAATAAATGACTTTCAATTGTTTTGGTGATGTTGTGGTTTCAACTAATGTGGAGCCTTCAGTTGCAGATATTTTTTTGATATTTGATTACGATATTTAAAAGACATTTCAATTGCTAAACAGCTAATGTTAGGGGAAGCTTAATTAGTTGTTTTGTTATATATACTCTATTTTGTCTCCACTCCACCACAAATAACTCCACAACGCTATGCACCAAATAAGTTTATTTTGGGAGGGCCTGGCGAGAACCAAACCGAACCATGTACAATACAAAATACAGCAACAATGTACGTATTCCTGCTAAATACAATGATACTCAATAATGCTTTACAAAGTAACTTTCGTCAACACAACCAAAGAGTAAGCACGCAGGCTTAATGTCAGTTAGACTGCCATGCAGTTAGGCTGCCAGTTAGGCTGGAGAGTAAACTCACAACTCCGACGTTACAGATCAGGGTTTTGCCTGATATCTTCAACTAGGAACAAACAAACTAAGTGCCAGTTAGGCTGGATGACTCTTCAGCCGGCAACCTCTAAATTAAGCACGAAGACTAAGACAAAGTATAACAGACTTAGGTAAGCATACAACATTCTAATACATTGGCGAGGTTGTACCCGTAACTCAGTAGCGTAAAAAATTTACAATAACTAGACTCAAATCAATAGAGAACGGCAAAAATGCTAAACTAGCAGAGCTGAGCAACCGCTCACAAAACAAATGTGGCTAGAACAGAGGCCAGAAAAAACCTGCCAGAAAAACCCCGTGGGAGAAAACTAGACAGGAAAGCAGCTAAATAGAATGATACTCCTAAACAATAATGCTTTACAGAGTAACTTTTGTCAACACAACCAAAATAAGCACGCAGGCTTAATGTCAGTTAGACTGCCAGTTAGGCTGTCAGTTACGCTGCCAGTTAGGCTGCCAGTTAGGCTGGAGTGTAAATACAACTCAGACGTTACAGATCAGTTTTTCCTGATATCCCTAACTAGGAACAAATAGGCTAAGTGCCAGTGAGTTACAAAACCGAAATCACTCCCCTCCCGGCTACGTCTCAATTAAGCACGAAAAATAAGACTAATAAGTATAACAGACTAAGGTTAGCATACAATATTATCATAAATGTGCTAGCTTGTACCCGTAAAGTAGCGTGACAAGTGTACAGTAACTACATTCAAGTAGAGAACAGCAAAAAGGCTAAACTAGCAGAGCTGAGCAGCCGCTTACAAAACAAATGCGACTAGAACGGCGGCCAGAAAAAACCTGCCAGAAAAACCCTGTGCATGGGAGAAAACTGGCAGGAAATCTGAGTAGGAACCATGGCTCATGCTCAAAAAGGTTAGAAGCCCATCCTACGAAGGCTTTACATAAGACGACAGTTGTTCCTATGATTAAAGAAATCTGAAAAAAGAAAAATTAAGCGAGACTAACTCGGTTGGTTCCGAGGCCTAGATGACCATCACGTGCTATACCCAACCTTCTATACGCCTACGTAACTACCCATGATTCCCCGGCCTGGAACCCAGGCCATGTTGTGTTTCGTGCCGACAAAATATTTATTTCAGTCTTCTTCGCAAGCTCATTCGACAGAAATAACACATTTTGTCTCCACTCCACCACAAATAACTCCACAACTCTATGCACCAAATAAGTTTATTTTGGGAGGGCCTGGCGAGAACCAAACCGAACCAAAATAGAGAGACAAAGTATTGGGCGCTGACATTGTCTAGAACCGAAAAACTCAGACGGTTCTGAAACTTGGAGATGGCAAGTCTTTGCCCTAGGCATCGCCTACATAAGTGTTTTTAGCTTGGACAGACTTACAACGACTGTGCCGTTGAAAAACCCTGTAATTGACCCCGTTGTTTGCTGCCGTAGTGGCTCCACCCGAACGTAGAGAGTGGAAATCAAACTTAGACGGGTCTGCAGCTGCAATGCCTTTCAGGTGCCGCCGAAATGCCTCTCGAATAGTATACTATAGCTGAAAGGCTTGTCGGGGGAACTAGCTTAAAGTAACCCTTCCCTCTAGAAATGGGCCTATAAAAATTAGATCCCTGCCTAGAGTCTGGAGAAATTTAAATTTAGTAAGATACCTATGAGTAATCTGACAGGACATGCAGAACTGGACAGTTCAACTTCGTAAGTTGATCGTTCTTACTTTTATGAAACCATGAAAGTTAATCGTTCTAACTTTTATGAACTCAAATAACCGTGAACTGACCCTATTAGAAAAACAAAAAATCACTTCTTTTAAAATATATATATAATTCTAGAAATGTCATCGAACCTAAAAACCCCGGCAAAGGAAAAACATACAAAGTGACGTTGCGCAAATCGACAGGGTTGTCAAAAGGTTAGATTTGCTAATAATGTTGTGAATCAAATTATAATTAGATGAAATATATGCTCTTTACGAACTTTACGGTAACGATATATACCAGTGCAAATAATTATCTTAGACGCGGATCTAATGGCCTCGCTCAACAATGGGGCTGTCATATCGTGGGCCCATTTTAGACCATAAAAGGGAGAATATAATTATAACAATGGGAGAACGAGACTCTTCAAAACCGGTGTTGTAAATATAATGCGACGTGAAATGGATATAAGCAGGGAAAGGATTCCACTAAAGCTTACTAACGACAAACTCCTTCCACTTGTGGAACGCACGGTGGAACAATAAGGATGTACTGTAGAGAGGACTGTCGTCTTTAATCTGTCAGCCAGTCCCAGCTGCCTTGTGGTATGTCCTGAACACGCCAAAAACCCGGGTAGAAAACATCTAAAGATATACAAAAAACGGTGAGGAGCACTGTATAGATATAATAAATTATTGTCTATATTTTGATGAAACAATGAGAGGGCGCACAAAAATAGAAAATTAAGTTAAATTGGTCATACAACTGAGCACTAATAACAAGAATCACACTTCACATGAGACTCTGTGAAAACCCCAGCGAGAAAAAGGTAGGCGGCGGAAGTCGACTAGAAGTGCTACGACTCCAAAATATAAGTGTCTCGACCCGAAGAGGGAGTTACGGGCATTCCCTCTAACAAACAACCCTTGAAACTAAAACAGATAGGCCCAGTCAATAACAAAAGTGTTCAAGTGAAGTCCATCTCTTGTGCTGGTGTTCCAGAAGAAAAATCAGACTTCCAAATAGGAAGGGATAATGTACCCTTAGCCTGACACGGTTCCATGTGCTTATGCTTGAGAACTCTAATAATGAGACAAACTGGGGGACAGACCCAATTGTTATCATTTCCCCAACCCTGGTAAAAGGCGTCAACCGCTTCGCAGCCGGGTTGAAAACCTAGAGTTAAATCTGGGTAACTTGGCGTTGTAGTTACAAGCGAACCTGTCGACAGAATGGGGACCCCAGAGCTAATCAATCAATATCCTGAAAAGAAACATAGTTAAGAGAATAATCGCCGAAATCTATAAGCTTGCAAATAAAATCGGCTCAAACATTAAGATCCCTGGGGATCCACTTTGCATAAAGGAATATGCAAAATATAACAGACAGAAATGAATGCTTGATGAATTTCGGCGTGATGGTATCCGGATTTCAGATCAAATTTGAATAAATAAAAACCTTTGTCAAATATATGAGTGGCCACACTCAAATCCTACACTAGAAATTTTGCTTGTAAACGAAAGCGTTCACGCGCCTGTGATCCAGTATTAACCCAGTTTGTTTTCCCGAACAGGCGGATAGAAAGAGAACGCGGATAAATAATCAGTCCGGCACGCAAAAAATATATTCAACAAGGTCCAAACTGGGGAGTAAGTCATAAACGGCTAATGACATAGAATGCCTTCTCGCACGTGCCTGAAGCATAATTAGCTTAGGCAAAAGGTGTAGGAAGCTGGAAGAAGGGAATTTAATAGCCTAGGCTAATAACATTCAAAATAGACTGTGAAACTTTAAAGGAATGCCAACATTCGAAAAACTAGGAGTCTTCCTCGAACAGAAGGCTGAATGGAATGGTGAAAAGTACAGTGATAATCTACGAGATAAGGTTGTAAGAAACTGGAGTTGAGCTCCTCAACCATAAATAAATCGTAAGAATCAACAGGAATCAAAATTAAAATGGACTACACTGATTTGTCCTGTTCTTTGGGTCATTTTGGAGCCAGAGAAGCTTGCTTGGCCATTGCTGGACAACAGGATCAGCCGCCAATGTCCTTGCTTTCCATGAGCAAAACAGGTGCCCACAGTAGATCGACGGGACGAAAAAACAGTCACACCGGACAGGTGGAAAGGCTGAGGTTGGGTCTGCGTTATAGAAGAGGCAACCGGTACGCGTACAGGCGAAGTCTCTTACTCGCGGCCGTTGAGGCAGTCTTCTTCTTC